GAAAGATTGGGTCGATAGGGAGGAGGGGTATTGACTGCAAAAAATGCCAAAGACATTTTTTTTTTCTGTTGAAATACATGATTTTCCAGTAGGTTTTGGAAATAGATAAATATACACAAACGTTTGACAATAAGGAGAATAATTCATTTGCTTATACAGAAACTATATGTCTATATGAACTAGTAATGCTATTTCACTATTTGAAGGCCAAGGGAACTGGTTGTTTTGTTGTTTAATATTTATGTAGAGATATTTCAAGTTAGGTGTTGCTTTGAAGGGTATTTAGTTTATTCATTCTAATGTTCTTAGGCATCAAAGTTTTGTTACTGAACCTTTGAAGCCTACGATAAAAAAATTCCCTTTGAACTAAGGGGATGCATTTTTTGCATCTAAACAGCCTAGGCATGCATTTATGAAGAAGATTTAAGTTGTAGTTTTTGGAGGCATGTTGTCTTGGACCATCATGTCCAAAATAGGGAAGATACTCAGCAGCTGATAATATCTATACTTAAGGGGTTAGTTTATAAGTGGTTAAACATGGAAAGCAAGAGAAAGAAAGACTAATTAGTTTCTTGCATGTGTAGAAGGTTTAATTTTATGTTATTTTCCATATATGTGCAGTTTCATTTTTCTTGAGGTATGGGAATTGGTGAAAAAACATGCAGAATTTGCCTTAATAGATTTTGAGTTTCTTTCTAGACTCAACTGTTAATGAGCCCTTACCTTTATTCGGTATAGGTCATATTAAATGAGTCTCTCTCAACAAGCTCTCTCTCTCTCTCTGTATAAGCCAAATTAGGTAAAGAAAAAGTACCCAATCACCAAATTGAAAAACCAAGTGCAAAAAAAAAATACTGACACAGCAGATTGGGACCCTAAACATCTTAAGACTGGCACAAAGACGTTCTGCTCTTCTGTTGACACGAGAAACAAAAAGAAATGATGATGTTCCTCCATACAAGACACACACAAATGTTGGAATTAGTTTCTCTCAATTTCTCTAGAGAATAATAACTCAAATGACTATGAATTTGAAGAGAGTAACTGATACAGAACAAGCAATTTGAATTGATAGTTAGAAACACAACTAGTTGTAGGGATTCTTATATGGAGAAAAGACTAATAATTATGAATAATACTAGAAAAGTGATATGTGTAACTACGATGCTAAAAAAAATACTTAGATTAGTTACAAGCTAAGGTTATAAAAGAGGAACTAACTATCTTGCAAATGAGTGTGTTGATGAAAGAAATCAGAACACAAATCCTCTCTGCCTCTCTGCTTCTATTCTCTTTCATTTAATATTTCTCTCTCTCTCTGTTTCTTTGTCCATTTCTACACTCATCATTTTTAA